CCGCCAAGTGTGAACTGCCCCTCCAGGCCCAGCAATGAGCAAGCGCCTACAGTGCCCGCCTGCCCTGGGCATCCGCCACAGGCCGCCAGGGGGCTGATCACTTGGAGAGCAAAGCGCTGCTCACTGGAAGCTCTGACCTCAGGGCCTCCCTGCACCCCACCATGAGCTTTATTGCCTTTCTTCTCCCTGCAGCAGGATCTATGCAGGCAAGTGAGGGCTGCATTTCCCCCGCAGCAGATCCCCGGCCTCCTGGACTGCCTAAAAAACTTCCATTCGTGCTATATCACGTGACTTTTTCAGGTCTCTCTTTTCGAATGCAGATCCCCGCACAAGAGAAGGGGCCTACGGTGCCCTGAGCACCTGCTGTGCCCAGGCCCCACGCCAGAGGTCTGGGGAGGCTGGATTCATGAGTGGTCGGGAGAGCCATGTGCAGCCAGACCTCCTGGGCCTGCATCCCCACTCTGCCACTTCCCAGCTCTGTGGCCTTGGGCAAGTTAATTCCCTTCTCTGAGCTGCATTTCTCAGCCTTGTGCTCTCCCTTTGTCGTCACCACATTCACGGCAAATATTTACTGAGGGCTCATCAAGTGCCAGGCACTGGCCTGAGCAATGTGTTTTCCTCCTCGCCACTGTCCTGTGGTGCTATGGTGATGGTGTGGTGTGAGGCAAGATTCTGGAATGTAGTAAGTGGTCAGTAAATGTAATCATTATTATTACTGTTATTATTGCTGTCACCACTTACCCTCATTATGTTGTGAAATTCTTACAGCACCTTTGACTTGGGAGTCGTGTGGGGATGAGAGACGACAGGGAGTCCCTGCTCCACAGGGCGCAGGGCGGGCCATGAGCCATCCGAAGCTTCCTGACTCCTAGGGTGGCTATTAACCTTAGCCGTGGGAGGGAGCTGCTGACAGAGGCCAGTGGCCAGAAGGGAATGTAGGCATCAGCCCCAATCCCAGTTTCTCCCCTTGAGCTTTTGGAGCCAGCAGGAGTGATTCTTCACCCGGGCCTCAGTTTCCCCTTTGGCCCAGCTGATGTACTAACAGGGACCTTTCCGGAAGCCCCTGGGGTCTCAGAATCTAGAACGGGAGTCTTAGAATGTTGGAACCCGGGAAGCATCAAGATGAGTCCCTTTGCTGTGAGGACTGAGGCTCAAGGAAGTCTCAAGGTCAGGTGGTCAGTTGTGCGTGGCCTGGGTGGCCACATGCCAAGCCACTTGACACCCCCCCTCCCCCAGTGCCTTCCGCTCTGCCGGTCAGCGCCGGCTCCTGTCTGCTGCTAAGGAGGCTGGACTCTCCTTCAGGAAGGGGCAGTTGTCGCCTGGGCCTGAGGCGGGGCCGGGGGGGGGGGGGGAGTGCGGTGGGCAGCATCTGAGTGGCCTGTCACCATGGCAACCCTAGCCTCTCTGCGGGAACTTTGGGGAGAAGAGCCCTGGGGAAGCGACAGATGGAGGGCAGGGAGGCAGAGTTATCCCCAGGCGGGGCTGTCTGTCCGCGAAGCCTGGCACCTGTCTGCCAGGATCGGTGGGTGGTGAGGCTGAGGTGCCCCCTTGCCCAGCGCTGAGTCATGGGCATCCCCCAGGGTCACCGCCTGAGCTCTCTCAGCCCTGCCCCCTCTGAGAAATCCGTGACTCACGTATGGTCCCGTCATCCCAGCCAAGCTAGGGAAGAGGGAGGAGCCCGACTGGGGCAGGAGGGGGCCGTCCCCCCACAAACAGTCGCAGCCTCACCGCCTCGCCTGCCTCCGCAGCTGCCTGCCCGCCTTGCTCTGCTGCAAGAGAGGAGCTGGGTGCCTCCCACACTCACCAGCCTGCCCACTGGGGGCAGCCTGACCCTGGCTGGGGGACTAAGCCTCTGAAAGGCGTTCCAGCTGCCTGGTCCCACACAGGACCTTCCTCCGGCACCAGGTACCAGATCAAGGGTGTGACAGCAGGAGGGAGGAGGGAGGTGTGCGGCAGAGGGTAGGGGGAGGCCTCTTGGGGGCAGCCAGCCCGGATGAACGCTGCTGTGCGGGGTCTCCAGTGTTGGGGGTAGACGGACGGGGAGGTGTCTGAGAAGGGAACGGGGCCCCACAGGATGGAATCTCTCAGAGCCGCCAGTCCTTTGTTAACTAGAGAAACTGAGGCTCAGAGTGGTATCGTCACAGGACCCAGCAAGCTGGGGTCTGCTCTCTGGGCTGTGAGACAACTCCCCATTCCTGCTCCCACTGCACAGATGGGAGAGCTAAGGCTCTCAGGTGGCTTACCCAACGTCAGGTACCAAGTCCGGGGATAAAGAACCGGGGTCCAGTCCGAGGGAGGACAGGACCCTCGTGGACAGTTTTGCTCACAGATGTCCAGGGCTGGGTCCCGGGTCCCCAAGTGAGCCAGGGGCAGTCTGGCTCTTCACCACACAGGCCACTTTCGGGAGGAGGTAGTCCCGGCCATGGGGTCTGAACGTGGGGGGTGAGAGAGGGTCCTGAGAACTAGGGGCAGATACATGGGGAAGTGGAAGCTGAGGCTGGAGCCCCCTGCCCACTAACCTCCAGACCCCGGTGCCCCCATTTATGTGGAACTGATAGGGCTTTCTCTCCAGGTGCTACCGCAGCGCCCGCCCTGGGGGACCTGCTGGATCCTGTTCTTCCCTCTTCCCCAACCAGCCTCCTTCCTGCGGTGCCGAGCTGAGGTCTCTGGTGGCCCCACAGGAGGAACTGGTGCTCATTTTGCTGAGGAGGGTTGGGGGGCATATACTGAGATGGGCACCTCTCGCCGTACCCCCCAATGCCCATCCTGCCTGGAGCAGTCCCGGCCTGGCCTAGGCGGGTGGGTAAGAACAGGCTTTGCAGCTCCAGAGGGCCAAAGAAGTTATTCACCTGAACATTTATTGAGTGCCTGCTGTGTGTATGATATCCTGGGGGTGGGAGCAGTGAATGAGATAAACAAGGTGTCTTAGAACCCATGGGTGGCCCAGGCCCAACGCTAGGGCCCCTGCCCCCTCACTGTGGGTACCCTGAGGGCGGAGGTGCTTTCTTGGGGTTGGAGACTGAGTGGGAAGAAGCATCTCCTGGCAGTGAGAACCGCTAGCTGCTGAGTTGGTTCCCCAGCCCAGGCCAGGGTCCTAGGGGACCTTCTCTGCCGACATCTAGAGGTTGGACTTGTTTTGAGGCCGGACCTAATCCCCCTTTGCTGTGGGGACCCCGGGGACCTGAGATACGGGTCCACCTCAGTCATAGCACCTTGCCTTGCCTCTCTCTTTGGGCCTCAGTTGTCTCAGCTGCTAAATGGGTGTGTAGGCATGATGATAGATGCCCTGCCTCCAGTGGTCCTGGGGCTTGGCTCCGAGAGTGTCGGCTTGTGAAAGATACCACCCCAGGCCCAGCCTGTGAGGGAGACGCTGTGCCGGGCGGCCTGTGCACACTCTTGCTGCTGGCTTCAGGGCCCTGGGCCGCTGGGCAGGGGCTGGTCAGCCTGGCCGTGACACCCCATCTTGTCAGGGACACAGACAAACAAGATAGCTAGGACCTGAGGCGGAGGAGTGTCAAAATGTTGCCAAGAAGGGGAGAGAACTTTCTGGGCTGGGAGGACCCGGCTGGGCTTGGAGAGTGGTGGAGAGAGCTGGTGTGCCTCTGGGAGGGTGGGGCGCGGGGCATTTCGGGCAGAGGCAGTTGCATAGAGAAGGGCTCGGAATGATGCGAGCCTGGAAATGGGGCAGATGATGGCACTGGAGACCTGGCACGGGTCACTTTATGGGGCCTGCAGGACCAGGCTGGCAGGTCTCGATCTGCTCTGCGGAGGAGGGATGGCAGGATGACGTGAGCAGCACAGCAGCCAACAGCCAGGTCAGACGGGTGCTGGGTGGGGGCTGGGTGCTCTGGCTGTGACCCCGACAGGATGGGGAGGGCAGGGCTATGATGCGCCGTGGCCTGGCTGCCCGAAGCCCAGGCTGTAGGGCTCAGGGCTCTTGCTTGAAAGGCAGCTTCATGGCTGTGGGGACAGAGGGGGAGGTGGCCGCTCAGCTGAAGGGACAGCAGGTGAAAGAGGCAGCAGAGCGGTGGTGGGGTCTCTGTGCTGTGGGGATCGCCTTCCTAGCAGGGCCGGGCAGGACAAAGACGGGAGGGGTGAGGGGGGCAGGCACAGCCACGAAGGGGCCA